GTGTGCAGAGAATCATTTTTTCCAAAGGCAAAATTAACTTTTGTTAATCTCAGCTGCTGAGATTTCCTAGACAACCTTCCAAACAGAACTTTCCCCACACTAGGTGGAATATCTATATAGACATTTAGGAATTTTTTTTCAAGTCTGCTTTCTTCTCAGATAACGGTTACTACTTCTGCTTCCCCTTTCACTGAGTTGCTGAAGTAATTCTAGGTCTTCCTTTCCTCTTTCACCCTTCTCTCTTTCTACTCTTCACCCACCCCACTTCTTTACATCATTCTCTCTTGACAGTCTGTTGGGCTAAGAAAGCTTAACCCAGAAACAAAACCCTCTTCACTGAGCTGGTGAATTGCAGCTTGCTCCTCCTGACAAAGGTTTCTAATATTATTGGCTCTATAGTGCCTCTGTTGGAAGGCTGCTAGCTGTTTGCACAGCTTACTCCAGGCTCCTCTGTAGCGAGAGGCTAATCTGTGCGAGAGCTTAGCACTAGTGACTAAAGTAAATGAAGCCTTAGGCCACATGAATTGTACTGTAACCTTTGTTTTTGTCTATGGAAATGTAACCTGTAGATAAGAAAGTGTAAGTAAAACTTTAACTACAGGATATTCTGTAACAAAAGATAAGGAAATGTCTCAAGACACAGACAAAAAGGGTGCCTGGAGGCTGTGGGAGAAATTCAGAAGAGAAGACCCCAGACTCTGCGAACAGGATTGGATGAGCATAAGTGCCATCAGGAAATCAAGCGACCTACAGAGACTATAAAATCTAGTAACAATCGGCAGGCGGGGTCCCTCTTCAGAGGCACCCAGCTCGAGCTGTAGCTACTATGGCGTATTAAACATAGTAGAAGAAGAAACTCTGATTCTTTTATTAAAGTGGAACCTAGGGACGAGCCCTGTTGAGGTAGCATCCACATAATTCCTACCATGGTCTAGGTGGCGGCTGTATAATTCCTACACTACCTCTCAGCATTCAAGCTCTAGCCCCAGCTGCAACTTTTTCGTTGCCTATACCTAATAACAGTGATAATGATAAATGTACTCCAAATGACCAAGCACCTCACCTGGAGAGGAGCCAGACCTCTGCAATGGTGAGGATTTCTCCCTTACTCAGTATGGAAAGGGCTGAAGATGGAATCCAGTGAAGAAACAAATTCACCTAAGAAAGATCTAAAGAGCAATAGTTCTCACCTTTGTCAAGTCCCGTTAAAACCTGTGTACGTATGCCCCTGTGTGCGCGCGTGTGTGCACACAAGTGAACAGAAGTCCAAAAACTCGAGAACATTATTAGGAGCAGAAAGAAGCCAACTGTACCTGCTTTGTTAAAACACATAAGGTTAGTGCAAGAGATACAAAGAAACAAAGTATTTATTGTTAAAAGCTTTTCTACGAATCACTCGGCATCATACAATGAAGATATGGTGGCTAACAGAGCAGAGGGAGTCTCTCTCTCTCTCTCTCTCTCTTTCTCTCCCCCCCCAACACATATTTGCTCACTCTCACAAACCCACAGTTGTACTTTTTAATGGAGTTCCTTTCTTCAATGAGATTGGAAAACGTGTTTATCATACAGGATCTGGCAGAACAGATACATCCAATTGAACAACAGAGCAGTTACAGAAAGGAGACCTCTTTCTTCAGGAAAAAAGAGCTTTCTTTTCCCCCTCATCTATTTGCACTGCCGTAAGAGGGTTCTCAACACAAAAACAGGCCAAAAAACCCCCAATACCTGACTAGCATTTTGGCAAAATTGGGAGCCTTAGAATATGCACCAATATTGACATATGCACTAATATTTTCACTCAGCTTCCACAGGATAAATTCTAATCAATGTGGTGTAAAAAACCTGCCAGCTGAAACCATGCCTGCACTACAACTACCAACCCTGCTAAGCCGAACAACTGAATCCCTGTTGATAGCAGCGGAAAACGTTTTGACAACGTGTCTCAAAGTTATTTGCAGAACATTTGGTCTGTCCTGCACGCCCATTTCCAGGCTACGTACAAGTTGAGACTGGCTCTCTCCCACATGCTCTCTGCACGTATACATACACACATGCACACAAAATATACTGACTCCCATGGACTGTGCTATTTCCAACAGTACTCTGCACGTTATCCTGTGCTGTGTCTTATTGGCACTTCAGTGGTGCTCCGCTCCATCTTTTAATTTCATTTTCCACTGCTGTATTCTTCTCTCTATTCCATAATCAAACATTTATTTTCCCTTTAATTTCTAAGAAACGCTTGGTCTGAATCCTGACTCAAGGCCAACAGCTCAAAGGACTAAAAAGAGTGTTTCAAACCTGCCATGTCAACACTTCAGCTCCAAGATATATTACCCTTCTGTTGGTCCTCCAGAATTCTGTTTTAACCCTTTTCTACTTCGATGCTATATTTTCTAACAATCTATATTATCATCTATACATTAACTACTCCTATACACAGAACAGTTTTTTTTGCAGTATGCACAGATTTGTATTGTACTGTGGCAGCAACTGAAGACCCCAAAACATCTTCTTGTCATCTTTTATACATACAAAAAGACAACCATCCTGAACTTAAAATGAATTTATCATTTACAGTCTGCCACAATTACACGCCTGTTCAGTACCACTGCTTTTCATTTTCGTATGCCCAAGCAGCATTTGGTCCAGTAATTTCCTCCCAGTCATTGCTCCATTATTTCTCTTCAAATATAATTTCTCTTTTTTGCAAACAAGCAAGCTCCTGGCTGCACTCCTGGAACAGAGGATGAAATTTCTGTGTGTCCCTTCAGTAAAAGGCCTGAACTGCTTCTGAACACAGGAAAAAAGCATCAGAATCTCAAACCCCAGTTTAACCAAAGGAAAGACATTTGACAGCTATTCTTAAGACTCACTGTTGGTGGCCCGTCTTTTTATGTACATAGGAATATGGACAGTGGGATATAAGAATTTAGATTTTGGATCGCCATCTTCAGAGCCGTCTACAGTGGCTGACTCACGCACGTGCACAGGCGTGCACACACACACACACACACACAGACTCACCTTCCAGTGATGCTGTTGTGAACACTGGGCAGCAACACCACATTACTTTCATTAATTTGCTCTGAAAGAGACTTGGAAACAGATCCATCCAATCAATTCTACAGAGAGATTCTAAAAGCAGGCTGGACTCCATTATGTTGCCAGCTGTGGCACATGACTGAAATTTCTCTGTACAAATATTTGCCACTGCAATGGGAAAGTTCTCTAAAAACAGAATTCCCTGGCAGACATCCTGCAGGCATCTATCCCAGTTCCGTGCCCTTCTCACATCCTTGCGTATCTTTCTCTGCATTTCTTATTCCTGGAGACTGAACGCATCCCCTGAATGTAGCTGCTCTGTTCACCACATACAGAAAAGAGTTTTATACACTGGACAGCATGCACACAACTGACACAGCAGCGTAATAAATATGGAAGCACAGTAGCAGATGACCCCCACTGTTTTCCCTCATAATGCTTGCTTGTAGTCCAATTAGTGGAGTCCTAAAGTAAATAAGATTTCAAGTCATTCACTGTCTGGCAGCCTCACAGCCCCTCGCTGTACTCAATTTAAGACTGCAGGTTTTCACGGTCTACTGTAAAAAGAGGTTTTAACACAAAAAAGTTCCAAACGAAGCCGTTCCAAACAAAGCCATTCCCAGTAAAAGGTCTCAAGCAAAGAGGTACAGCTATGCTTTTTCTTACACCAATGGTTTTGCATGACGGTACCACCATCATATGACTGCAATCAAATGTAAATTTTCCGAGACATCTCTGAACACAATGGTCAGAGTAAAAGCTATGGCACTATTAATGTGAAAGCAGAGGTATTAAATAAAGGGGTGGAAGAGAAGACTCTCTCTTCTGTGAGTGGACAGAAGAAACCTTTAAGTTCAACTAAGAAAGAAATTGTCAAAAATAGAAGGACAATACTACAGCAAAATGCATTATTCAGAAGAGCTGCCTCCCTTCTGTACCACATGTGAATTTGATTCTCTTTCCAAGAAAGTGAAAGAAAGGAGATGAAAAGGAGTAACCTAGAAGAGGATTTTGAGTTGCCACATCATCTGTACAAAGGATTATACTTTGGCGGCTGCTTTTTGGACTAGAAATCATGTTGGGCCATTAATTACAAACTAGTCTATGCACTAAAAAAAATGAGGCTGGGGAAGGATTTAATGAAGATGTCCCTGCTTTCAAGTAAATATGGTATATATTCCCATAGTCTGAATTTGTTGTACATTTACAAAGGAGACGGTTTCCAAGGGATACGTTCTCTGTGCTATTTAAGGCTGATAGTGCTTTATAATCAACAGCATCATATATTACCAGTATGTACCATGTATGGGGGAACTAAGTAATTCGTAGTAAGAGGCAGTTCACCTATGACCAATCCAGGGACTCTGTTAACATCTTGAAGTAAAGAGAAAACTGCCATGTTGTACGAAGTTAAGCTTGGATTCTGCACCAACTTAACAATTAGGGAAGTTCTTTTCAGTGCTGATCCCTACTGGCACACAGAGAAACATTTAAGAAATCTTGTATTTTACATATATGCTTACTGTTAATATCTGCTGTGTTCAAGGCAGGTTATCAGCAAAGCACCACTAAGTTATTTTCATCTTCTCAGAATGCCTCATCTCTTGCTTCAACCTCAGCTTTGCTAACACCACTGATACTAAGGATGCCTAAGAAGCTCCTATCTTGGGGATAATTCTCTTCCTCTCAGTACAGCACACTGATCATACCCATCTAGTGATATGTAATTCAGTCTACCTTTCTCTGCGGGGGCAAGGGAAAGCGGAAGTGGTAGAGTTTGCAGAAGAGATGTCCTGACTATACTTCTTTCCAGAGGGGCTCTTCATTCCAGGAATGAAAATCCTCCTAGTTTGTTCTTTCACATGGTGAGATGGCTTCTTGCACTGCTCCAGCTGCAATAAAAACTCCACATTCCACAGCATTCCACAGGTATAACGAAGACTATCTTGTCTAACTCCAGACAAGTTACTATTTGAGACTCTTAGGTAACATAGGATGAGAACTGCATTTATTTCTCTAAATCTGTAGTCTCCTATAACACCCACCTCAACCTCCCCCATCAATGCTCCCATGATTCTGTGCATAGCCCATTAGGATTTGCTGTGTAGTGTCTGAATTTTCCACTAAAACTTAATGATGTGCGTTGATGAATGAACCTTTAATCTTCTTTAACACTGACACTTGTACGGTGCTGTCTCTGGCCTGGAATGGTTTGAGACACCCCCCATGGGCAAGATTTTCAAGGGTCACTCTAAAGCTGGTGTTCTGACTGGTGTGTTGATGGTACATTCTCATCCAGTCAGGAAGCAGGTCCATGTGTAACAGTGAGCTAAGTAACACTGAAAAGTCCACTGGTTTGGTGGTCATGATGCCAATGGGATCTTGTGAGCAGTACTTATGTGTTGCGCACTCCCAGAGATTGTTCCAGTTCCTGCCGGCGCTGCTGGATCTGAAAGAAAAAGAGAAACTGTACAGTTCAGCAGATTCAATTGTTCAGTGGCAGGAAGATTAATTTATAAGCCAGAAGTGTGGATAATTCCTTCATACCTTGCAGTAGAAATATCTGCTCACAGCCTCTTGAGACCATGGCTCATGATAAAATTCAGCTCTGCGTTCTTCCTCTGGGTTTCCAACTACATCAGTCATCACCTGTGACAAAAATAAAAATATTTTTCACTATAGCTCTTCTACCACATAGAGAAACATTCAGATTTACCTAGAGTCAAAATTTATCTACATTACTGCATTAAAAATGTTCAGGACTGTTCTCTAAGCCCAAGGCAAATGGACAATGAATGGCATGTGTGCTTACTACCAAAACAAGATGGTCGCATACAAACTGTGAACTGTGAACAGCTCCTAACCTCTGCTCCTCAGCTGTGCGAAGGAATAATTCTGGACACCAGCAGTTGCCCAGGCTAAGTGCCACGATCTCTAAAAATTAATAGCATGGACAGTTTAGTTCCAGTGCCCAGGACAAGTTCCCTGGCACTGTATATTTTATTAGCCTATGTATCCAAAGAACCTCAGTAGTTACCCATACACAGGATAACAGCTTGAAATTGTTAAAATATTCACATCAAATTGAAGCAGAACTCTATACAGTGTTGCCCTTATCTCAAAGCATATATTACCTTGATTTCAAGGAAAGTTCTGATGGGGAAAGCATTACGGAAAAATAACTCTATTGAAATGTGAGGAACAGAAAACCCTACAATTCCACAATGGCCAAAGTCCTGAGCTGATTTTTCAGTCTCTACGCAACGGCCAAGAAAGCAAGATTTGAAAAACCAACAAGTTGTTTAAAGAACTAGTGGATGGGACCACCTGGAAAACTGCCCTTAGGGACAAAGGAGCTGAACAGAGGTGGCAGCTCTTTAAGGACATTTTTCTTAGAGTCAAAGAGCTCTAAATTCCCATGTGTACGAAACTGGGCAAGGAAGGCAGGAGACCGGCATGGCTCAGTAAAGACCTCCTGGTCAAACTGAAGTGTAATAAGGAAATGCACAGGCAACGGAACCAGGGACATGTATCTTGGGAAGAATATAGGGATGCTGCCCGGATGGGTAGGGATGGGCTCAGGAAAGCTAAGGCACAGCTGGAGCTGAATTGGGCGAGGAGTGCAAAGAACAGTAAGAAGGGCTTTTACAGATACATTGGCTAGAAAAGGAAGATTAAAGAAAATGTACGCTGCCCCCCACCCTGGTAAATAAGACAGGAGAACTGGTGACAACCAATATGGGGAAGGCTAAGTTAATCAACATTTTTTTTTGCCCCAGTTTTCTATGGTAATCTCTCTTCCCACATCTCTCAAGCCCCTGAACCTCAAAGGGGAAAGAAGTCCCTCCCATTGTAGGAGAAGATCAGGTTTGAGACCATGTGAGGAAGCTATACATAGACAAGTCCACAGGACCTGACGAAATGCATGCCAGGGTCCTGAGGGAACTGCTAAGTTAATCAACATTTTTTTTTGCCCCAGTTTTCTATGGTAATCTCTCTTCCCACATCTCTCAAGCCCCTGAACCTCAAAGGGGAAAGAAGTCCCTCCCATTGTAGGAGAAGATCAGGTTTGAGACCATGTGAGGAAGCTATACATAGACAAGTCCACAGGACCTGACGAAATGCATGCCAGGGTCCTGAGGGAACTGGCTGATGTAGTCACTAAGCCGCTCTCCAACATATTTGAAAAGTCACGGCAGTCAGGCGAAGTCCGCAGTGACTGGAAAAAGGGAAACATCACACCCATTTTTAAAAAAGGTAAAAAGGGAACTACCGACCAGCCTCACCTCTGTGTCTAGTAAGATTATGGAACAGATCCTCCTGGAAGACATGTTGGAACATATGGAAGGCAGGGAGGTGGTTAGACACAGCCAACATGGCTTCACCAAAGGCAAATCGTGCGTGACTAATCTAGTGGCCTTCTATGATGGAGTGACTGCATTGGTGGATAAGGGAAGAGCAACTGATGTCATCACCTGGGTCGCGGCAATCCTCAGTATCAATACAGACAGAAGGATAAATGGATTGAGAGCAGCCCTGCAGAGAAGGATTTGGGGATACTGGTGGACAAAAAATTAGATATGAGTTGGCAATGTGCGCTTGCAGCCCAGAAAGCCAATTGTATCCTGGGCTGCATCAAAAGAAGGGTGGCCAGCAGGTCGAGGGAGGGGATTCTGCCCCTCTGCTCTGCTCTGGTGAGACCCCCCCTGCAGTGCTGCGTCCAGCTGTGGGGTCCACAGTGCAAGACAGACACGGACCTGTTGGAGCGGGTCCAGAGTTGGCCACAAAAATGGTCAGAGGGCTGGACCACCTCTCCTATGAAGAAAAGATGCGAGCGTTGGGGTTGTTCAGCCTGGAGAAGAGAAGGCTCTGGGGAGACCTTATTGCGGCCTTTCAGTACTTAAAGGGGCTTATAAGAAAGATGGAGAGAGACTTTTTACAAGACCTGTAGAGACAGTTCAAGGGGCAATGTTTTAAACTGAAAGAGGACAGGTTTAGATTAGATGTAAGGAAGACTTTTTTTTACGATGAGGGTGATGAGACGCTGGAACAGGTTGTCCCGAGAAGTTGTGGATGCCTCATGCCTGGAAGTGTTCAAGGTCAGGCTGGATGGGGCTTTGAGCAACCCGATCTAGTGAAGATGTCCCTGCCCACAGCATGGAGTTGGACTGGATAACCTTTGAAGGTTCCTTCCAACCCAAACCATTCTATGATTCTGTGATTCCGTAAAAAAATAAAATTCTGATGACTAAGTCTCCAGCATCACAGAATCAAGGGTAAATATAAAATTATTAGCATCTTTTGCAGAGTAGTATTATGCAATCACAATTCTGATGCCAGCAGGACAGAACATTATAGCAAAGGCCCTTATGGGACTGGTTGTCAGTCAGGAAGAACACTGAACAACTGTTCTATGTATGCAGCTAGAGAAGCTCCACAACACCTTAGTTTGTAAGCTCTTCAAGCTAAAGGCTGCTTTATTTAAACATTCTTTCAGATGCCTGTCCCCTTTTGAATACAATACAAATAATAATCATAATCTTAACAGCATATTTTCGGAAGACTACTGACTACAAACTAGACATTTATATTTGAAAGACACAATGATTTTATTAAAATAATTTCATGGATTCATTAATACAACTGGTTTTGAGGCATCTGAGTTAAAGGCACCAAGTGTGAAACTTTATGAGGAACAAATTATTAATTTTTGCTGGCAAACAACTGAACTTCTTTACATTCCATTTCTTCGGTATCTCAAAGCTAAGCTCAAAGGCAGCCGATATTTAATCTGCCTATTTCTTATATAAGATTAAACTATGAACTAACAAAACACCAAAATTGTGTTATTGTACTATAGGATGCTCCTGATGAATTTCATATAGCTTTAATTTTACGGAGTACACCAACACAGCCCTGCACTTTGATCTTACTGTCTGACCACAAATCCCCATTAAGCACCGCTGTTCCACTGGAAGTGGAATTCAGCCTAAACTGTCTTTCCTGCATACTGTCTGCTCTGGGATTGCAGTATTCCAGTCACTGTCTGTCTCCCACCAATTTTCTATCCTGGATGTTTTAGCTATACACTCCATATACACTTAGATAAAATTCTGGTTCCACTATTCATTCTTCTTCAAACCTTAGCTCACCTTAAGATCCCTACTTTGGGACCGGAGAAGGTCTTGGATGTATCCTTTAGGATCTTTGGAGAAACTCAGCATGAAATCACGTTGTATTTTTAACTGATTTATGGATTCGATTGTCTCGTGAATCTGACAGAAAAAAACAAAGCAGATGTTACTTAATTCCTCCCATGTTCCAGTGACCCTGAGGTCAGCCCCATTAGCATCTTTGTATTTCTTGTAATGGACAAAGGCGACAATTCTACACCGCAGACTTGTGCAGCTTCCCATGGCTTTTCCCCTTCAAAGACGGAGTTAACCGCAATCCTGCAATTACACTTTGGTTTCACTTGTACTTCTGCAATACAAGTATGTACAGGATTCTTCTTCACTTCCTGCGTTGAACTGCTGGATGGCATGCTATATACAATACTGAAGAGCTAAGTCATGTCACTATATAATGCAGTAATTTCCTGTGTATAATCAGTCTTCTGCCAAGTCTGGGATTTTTCAGGAAAGGTGCTTTAAACAGTACCCAATGCAAGAAAGCAGTTATTCCCCTGGTTAATCATCATCATATCTTCAATACCCTGCTGTGATCCTTAAAATTTCTAGTGATTGTCTAATCAAGTCCATGTTAAATGAACTCACATAACAGCCATGACTTCTAGATTTTTTCTTACGAGAAAGCCTATTAAAGTCACAACGGCTGCAAAAAGAAGAGTGTGAACAATGAGAAATCAGGAGTATGGAAGGTTTATAGAAAATGAGTCATCAGAAATATTATGAAAAAAATGAGCATTAACCAGCAGGGAAGAATGAAGACTCCAAAGAGAAGCCAAGGTCCTATAATCATCCTGGATAACAAAATCAAGTATGATCATGGGAGACAGTTAATGAATCATTTGCACATACACAGACAGAAAAACAAACTTTTGCTACCCTGTTCCTCAAAATTCTAGTTTAAGATTGTAAACCTATCTTGTTTAATTTCATGTATACATCTATTTTGCCAAAACAGGTAATGCGGCCAGGCACATGGGAGAAAATAATCCTCCCTGATCTGGCTATGCCATCCAGGCCACTAGTGTAGGCACAACTGTATGGTATGTTACCACAAGAGAGCTGCTGTCAACTTAAAATCATTCCTTATTTGGGAAAATGATGTAGCCATGCTGGAGAGAAATCTGTTGGCATGCACCGAGTTTCCACTAGAGGACTCTGTGACAGCACAGCAATAAATGGTACAGACGGTAACAATGCAGCAGTCAATGCCTCTTTACCCAGAAGTGACTTCAGTAACTTCACTAATCACAGTGAAGTAATTACACATTGCCCTCTGCTGTAGCAAATGCTTAAAAAATAGGTGATACAGACATGGGGAAAGGTGAGCTGGACTGGAAACAGAATAATCCTGTGCATGCTGCATGCAAGCCTACACAGGCTGGGAACCAACTGGCTGAGCAGCTGCCCTGCTGAAAAGGACCTTTCTCAAGAGCCATAAACCAAAAGATGCTGCAACGGTTACCAGAATCTATAGGACTGCTAGTGTCCAAACCCCCTTTAAAATTGCATTTAGACCACAGTTTAACATATTTGTTTGTATTAGAGGTAAACAAACACAAACTGGGCCTGACTGTATGTCACATAAATCATCTCTGGTCCACAACGTCACACCTCTTCTTCCCTTGCTCTGAGAAGCCACTTTTGTTTATCCCTTACCAAGCCAAATCAGCCATTTGCACATGTGCCAAAAGCTGGCTAACAGTCCCCGTGACATGAACGCTTAATACAGCCTGCAGAATTCACCACTGCTGTAAGACAGATACTATTATTTGAAGTACACATGATCCTCTTTCAATAACACTGAAAACAAGTCTGCCAAACGGCTCCAAGTGATTTTTCTGCCATGCATTTTCCATATTTGCACCTACTGCAGAAAGCTGTTCTGCAACCACGCATGCACAAAACACGTCTGGACTATGAGATTCTCTTAGCTTTGCCTTATAGCAATTTAGCAAGATACCATGACCTCTCAATAAAAAGTTGAAGTCAAAGAGTTCAGATGATTCTTGAATGCCACGGGACTCATTAGACTTCCTGTGAAACTCTGCTTCTATCACCTCGACAGCTGTGTCAGGCCATGGATCAAATCCTAAGTGGAAATGCCACTCACCCTTCAGTATTCGCATTGCATGTGGCTGATTCATCCCTCGAAAGCTCATCCAATTGATGTATTTGCATTGCATGTGGCCGATTCATCCCTCGAAAGCTCATCCAATTGAGAAGTCCCTGTCTCACAACATTACTGTCTTTGACGTGGGACAGCAAACACATGAAGGTACACAATGAGCATACATGCCATGTGATACTTTACTCCTGGGCTAGTACCTTGTTGTCCAATGCTGTAATCTCCTGTTGGTTAGCTGTTGAAAGAAGAAAACTACTCATCTGTCCCTTTAACGGGTCTTCAACTTCTACATCTATGTCATAACAAGCCGTCTTCTTCTGATCGTTGGGGTCAACACTATGGAGAGTATAACAGAAGATCATGAGAACTGAATAATGAATCAGAATAAATATCCATTCAGCCCAGAATACACTCTTTGATAAAGCCTGTTGCACATGCTGTGAGAAGAGTTTAAGGACAGAGTATCTTTATATATTTGTATATCCTAGTATATCCTCTCATCTTTCATCTGTCAGAATTCAGAGACTTTTGAGCTGGAGGTTTTGTCCAGACCACCAACTTTAATAGCTGCTAATGGACATAGTCTTCATGATAGTCTAACATCTCCCTGAGACCTGTTATAACTCTGGCCTCCAAAGGTTCATGATAGTCTAACATCTTCTTGAGACCTGTTATAACTCTGGCCTCCAAAGCAATCCTCAGTGGTAAATACCATACTGGTATGGTCTCTGCTCGACTGCATCTTTTTTGAGATAGGGTAAGCAGAACTGTACGCTACCATTCTGGATGTGAGCTCATAATGACATTTCATTTGGTTCTTGGTTCCTTCTCTAATAAGCACTGTAGTTGTTTTGGCAGTTATGCAGCACTGTAATGATTCCCAGCTACTTCTTAAGAGGCAGCAGTGAATTTGGGGACCACCATTTTGTTTGTAAAGTTGCCTGCTTAATTCTCCTAAGAATATAGCCAGTCATGCCTTCCTGTTACAGAAGCTATATTGACTCTTCCCCAATATATCACACGTCTATTAACTCCATTCTCTACTACAGTTAGTACCAATTGGCTTCCGATATCCAGATTGGTCCTGGTATGTTTCTGGCACCATGTTAACTATTTACCACCCCTCCGGTACTGAAGGAGATTTCAGTAATAGGTAACACATTGTATAGAATCATAGAATCATTTGGGTTGGA